GAAGAAGTTTAATTAGAAGTTTAATGGTTGTTAGTTTAGTAAAATATTGAGAAAAGTTAAATTGTTTGTTTGAGAGATGTTGGTTTTAGTGATCTATGGGAAGAGTTAGGTAATTGGTCATCCAAAAATCCTAACTATTATAAACTTTATATATTAAAAACTTTAATAATTAATAATAAAAAGTTTTACTAAATAATAATAACTTTCATCTTTAAGTATAACTGTAATATTTTTTCTTTTTTATTAAACAGAATGCCTATTTTGATTACCCAAAAGCTAGATCATTTTGTTCTTGATTATTTTTATAACAAATACAATAATTATTATAATACAACTTAAAATGATACTATTTGCATTTAATTTATCTGAATACAATATTGCTAAATCTCTTTACTACTTTAAAACTTCTACTCAACCTATCATTGTCTACTGTTACTATCAAAAATTCTATATTTTCTTTATTTCTAGTAATCTTAATATTTCATCTAGACTAGCAACCTCTTTCGCCTCTTTTCAAAAATCTACATATATGGATATTAACATTATACCTATACAAATTAAACACCTTAAAGAAATTATTCCTCAATCATTAATTACAAAAACAACTATTGTTTCTCTATTACTATTTCCTTTAAACTATTCTACAACTTAGCAAGGAACTTCATCTAGTTCAATACAAACTCCTTAAATTTAATCACATTTTCATTATATATATACTTGTATTATTTATCAAAATAAAAACATCTTATATGTTTTCTTGGAAAATAATATACATTCACTTCTTAACAAATCTATTCTTATTATTAAAAGATTTTTAGCACACTCTAAATATATTCACAAACTCAAATACAAACTTATTATTCAAACCAAAGCATTTATCATTATACAAATTTAAACAATTTTCATAATAAAATTTATTGCAATACCCAAAGAAGGAAAAGTTTTAATTTTCAAAAAATTCTTAAAATTATTAAAATGAATATAACAAAAATAATAAAAACAACAAAACCTATATCAAAAACAACCTATCATCAAGAATCTTCTTATTTCCAAACTTACATCTCTTATTCCAATTATAGCTAAAATAATTAATAATGAACAACAATATTACCAAAAATTAAATAAACAATTTTATAATCAAACAGCAATATCTAAACTTAACTAATCAATTAACTAACTAGCAAATTTCCCAGTCATTGATAAAATGCAAAAGCATACAAAATTAGAAACTAAGATATCATGTCAACTTTTTAATTTCCTTAAAGAACATTTATATAATTTTTATTCTAGTAAAGTTCTTAAAGAAATTACAGAAACTAAATATAAACTTAAAGCTAGTTTCTATTTGCTAATTAGACAAATGGCTAGTACCAGACCAAAATTTCTTATTTATCTAATTCAATATACAACTCTGAAACAGATAAAGCTATAATAATTTCTTTCAATATTTTAAAAGAAAGTCTTAAAAACTTATTCATATATTTACAACAGCCTTCTTTACCAAACTCAATTATATTGAAATATTTGCTTTTCTGCTATAATTCTACTAATTAAAACTGAAAACTGTTTACAATTTTGTCTTAATTTTGTTTGTTTACATTTATATCTTTCTAATAATTATCAAGCAATTAACTATACAAAATTTGTTAAAGATATCAAATTTAGACCTAAAAGATTTAAGATAACATCTGAGGTTATTGACTTTGACAAAGAACAACAATATCTTTCTATTAAAATAAATAACTGATTTAACATTAAATTGAATTTTAACTTCACAAAATCTTTTTTTCTTGACAAATATAATATATTATCACTTATAAACTTGCTTAGTCATTTTATTAAATGGTTTAAAAAGCCTTTCTATTATATAGCTAACAATTTTTTAATACAATTAACAAAACCAAAATATCTAACTACCTTAAATATAAATTTAGACAACACTTTATCTTATATCTAGAAAACCTTTTACCAACTAATATCAGATTTATAAAAGTTTTAAATATACTAATTATTATATACTCATCTATACAGATTCTAAATGTCCCTATATTGAACTAACTAATACAAAAGAGAAAACAAAAGAAGCTGATACTAATTCAAAAAAAACTTTAATATCACAACCTACACACAACTCATCTATACTTATTAAAGATATATTTAAAACATTTTATAAAACCTATTTCAAAGAAGATACTAAAACATGAAATAAATTTTTTTTTGATGCATTTATATTCTATATTAAAGACAAACATGAAGCCATATTCACAAAACCAATTCTTATTTTAAATCTTAATAAACTAGCTATAAAAACAAAAAAGTATACCTGTTCCTCTAATGCTGTTAAAACTAATTCTAAATGATGAAACTTCTATTTTTATCAATACTTATCTATATACCAAAACACTATTACTCAAAACCACAATATTGACAAAATGATAAAAACAAGTCATCAAGTTTCTTATAGCGAAACTTATCGATACTGATTTTCTAGCTTGAGTTATTATATACTTTAATTGCATATGAGGCAACTCCTCAAACTACTCTGAAATAACTAAATTCTATAAAGAAAAAGTCTTATTAGAGACAAAAACAATTTTACATAACAAATTCAAAATTAAATTTAAAATACTTATTTCAATTAAGGAGTCACTCTTCTTAAAAAATGAAGAAGAAGCTTCTTTTTAATAAAATCTTTTGTAGTACCTATAAAAGCAGTCACTACTTCTAAAATTATGATGTTTTTCATTAATAATAGGCTATTTTTAGAAGAGAATAATTTAAATAGACAGGTGGTTAAGTTCATTTACATAAAGAACTAAGTTAATAATGGCTAGACTCAATGTAAAGAGCAGGCTATGGCACTCTTTGTAGCTGTGAGAGCCAAGAAGATGGTAAGTAAAACTACAGAAGAATTTTCTATTTTCTTGAATACTATTTTATCATCTTATATTAAGGAAGCTCTGCAAGAACCAATTCACAAAATATTTTATAATCCAGACTCTTGATATAACCAATGGCTAGTATATCTAAGCCTACTCCTACTTCTACATCCACAAACACTCAAATTTTTTTAAAACACATCTATTAACACAACTTCACACAATACGATAACTTTAACTATGTACTCAAAATATTAATCAAACTTGACTATAGTGAATATTAAATACATTTATCAAATATATCTTAACCCTTATCTGAATATTTCTTTCTACAACTATTAGGTTATCATTGAAGGAGAAGTTAGAGTCAGGTTCAGCATTAAGGTTAAATGTATAGAATAAAGAGAAGAATAATGAGTTATCTAGAAATGCTGATATAGTAAAAACTGGTATTGATGTCTTAGATTTTAGTTGAATATTTGAATAATGCCAGATAGCTTAAACTGATAGAATAAAGTAATTAGATAAAGGTTTGGGTTCTGATAGAAGGTAGATATAAGCTTCACTATAATAATTTTTAATAGAGATAGTTAATGTCTAACCACATAGATTATCAGATGAATAACCAAAGCTGTGAATGTGGCATAAAAAAGTATTAATAGTTTGAGGATGGAAAAGTAGTAGTATGTAGTTGTAAAATAGAAATTTATTGTAGCAAGTATTAAATTAGATATTGTTATAGTATTGTTTAGCTATAGTTATTTTATTATAGCCTTCTAAAACAGTTTCTACTAATT